TTGTCTCATTGGCACTTAAACCACATCTTCTTATATCTAAAATAACGTCTATAAGTTATTGCATCATTTATATCCAACCACTCATACGTTGATGCAAGGGAAAAGAGACTCACTACGCGGTAAAAAGAAAATCGCCATAAAAAAACATTAAATAAACGTGTTATTGTATTTTACGATCTATGAATAAGTTCCCAAATGTCATTAACCCATTATAAAGGTAGAGTCAAATTTATGTCCAGTCTAAAAACTTTATTGCGTCTTTGGCGTCACAAATCTATGATTTTTTTCTCAAATATGTGCTCTTCTTAACAAGTCATGTCCTGTCAAAATATAGCTTAAAAAACGTTTAAAATGTGTGTCCATAATTACCCCAACTATATTTTTTATTGATTATATTACGTTCTAGTTTTTTTGTTTATTTGGTATTTGGTATTTGGTATTGACTATTTACCTGTCTCAACATATGCCTTATGTGACATACAAGCAGAGTTTGACATTATCGTATATAGAATATTTTGTTGGGGGGGAAATGATATAGATATAAGATGATGTGGTATGAGTGCCAACGAGACAACTCTCCATCCAAGTCAAAATTTATAAAAGTAAACGAGAAACGAGAAACACTTATGAACCACATCAACAAACGACAAGTTCTGAACATCAGATTCCTGACTTAGGACAGGTGCAAACAATTGCAGCGGGTTTAAACGTTTTAATGGTACCAAACCTTCACCCTTTTTCTGAAACAATGGTGTAACATCACAACATAGAAAGACACACTATAAAATATCAACTGAAAAAGCTTAACTCAATCAAAGGACATATTAACACCAGTGAACATACACTGAACAAATAAATTTGACCTATGATACAATGTAAATACAAAATAAATAAACTAAGGATATACATATATATTTATATAGATGATTATTGTTTCTACGTATTTATACATCCCTGGCTGTTTTATTTTCATGTAGTTAATTACATGGCCTATAATGATAAGAAAAGTAACTGATACGATTAAGTAAGATGTAAATGACCCACTGAAAGTAGGAGAACCAAACAATGATCTCAATAAACTAGTTAAGTGAGATATCAGTACAATCATTACGCTTTTTTGTGTTCGTTAAATATGTAACAAAAAGACGCGAATAAACCAAAGGGATATTCAAACTCATAAGTCGAAAACAAATTGACAATGTCATGGCAAAAAACAAATTTACAATGTCATGGCAAAAAACAAACTGACAATGTCATGGCAAAAAAAAAATCGAATAAAAGAACAAAACACAAACAGCAGTACACAAAACACTACATAGAAAACTAAAGACTGAGCAACACGAGCACCATCTAAAACCGCGGATGATATCGGGTGTTTCAGAAGAGTAAGCAGATCCTGGTCCACATGTGGCACCCGTTGTGTTGTTCGTGCAAGTACAAACCCGGTGATAAGTCTTGTTCGGTATTTCACATTCAAGATTAAGAGGATGTGATTGGGTTCACGACAATATGAACATAACCGTTGTCATCTGTAAAACAGATATTCCAGAACGTTTAACCAACTCGTGATGGCGTCCGCAAATTTTTTAAAAGCCTTGATCGCCAAATAGTGGAACAGATTTGCGGTTTTATCAAAGGACACATATTTGACTTTCGTGACGTCACATAAAAAGTCTGCCTTTGATTAAACAAAGAGTAACAGATTTAGGTCAAATGACGTCAGGGGACACACATTTGATGCTAGACATAAATTTGAAGTTCTGAATTTTCTCTAAATACATTGTATGAAAAAGGAATGGTTGGGGTATAGTATGTCAATGATTAAGCAGACCAACAGCCTAACACAAATTCAGAAATGACATCAGAAACGATTCAGGAAGAGCTAAATTTTATAACTGGGAATACTTTAACTACATGTGCAATACTCCTGAAAGAATTTATTTTTTGTATTTCGAGAGAAGAATAAATGTTGTTTTTTTTTCTCATTGCAAACATTTGTATCAATAAATGCCAGACAAATGATGTTGATTGATTAAAAGAAAAAAACACTAAACTCATATTTCGAGAGATAGAAACTGATAAGATTCTATCAAAATAATTTGCAGTCATCTCCTACGATGAAGTGGATGAATGATCTGTACAATCATGTTAAATATATTTTGCAAATTAAATAGAATAAATAAAAACAAACAAACCATTTATCCTTCATCGCCATCCCAATCCGGTTCCTGTGCTTGGACAACATACGTCCACAACATTGCCACAACCAACATGACTATAAGAGCATTTTGCAAAATTTCATTCATTCTGCAGTCTGCTTTTAAGAACTGTGTTCAACTTTAGAAATTACTGTTTATAAATGAAATTATCTATGACACATTTTATTAGAACATAAAAATATGACATATAACAGTTTGAAGGGTCGTGTTAAAACATCTGTTTTCTGAAACTAACATATTTTTTTTGGACAAAAGTCTGGATCATAAACGAAAAAGGAAATGCGTAATTTTTTTAATTTTTTTTATCTGACATTTATCTGCATTTAGTAACCCACAAAACTCAACAAGAAGTAGGAATTATATAAATACAAAGTTGATAGTTATAATTGATTATTTAATGTCAATAATGTTGTCATGGTTAACCTGGAAGTGAGAAATATTGTTCCATATAAACATACATATGTCAGCTTAATTTGATTGGACAAGGTACATGTACACTCTATAACTATAGTGCTGATTTTGTAAATTAAAGAAATAAACTTGAAAAAGAAAGCACTGTTTTAATTCAGTGATTTTAAATTTACATCAATGCAGGATTACTCTGATAAATTCCAACCCATTGCAGTTGGAATCAAATAGAAAAGCGTTTCAAAATAGGATACAGCGTTATTATTTTCTGTATTCGGTACTTTGTTCCACTACTATAACAGCTAATACAGCTAGTACCAGGGTCAATACTGGTACAGCAAGTTTAAGAACAACTTTATTCAATGATTTTTAGTCTTTAATTTGATTAAAAAATATCATGTTACAGTATGCAAAACACCACGTACAAAACTATAGCCTACGCAACATACACCCAACCAAACACCATTCTTATTTTTAAAGCCTGCATTATTTCCGTCTTTTTTCAACGGAAATGAGACAATAATATCAATCTGAAATTTGATACCAAACGATTGTGTACTTGTCTCGTTTAAAATCGTAACAAATTAATAAAGTGTAATTCTTCATGATTTTTTTGCTGCTGTTTGCTTTGAAAAGTTAACTATCTAAGTGGTCCCCAAAAGACGTAGAAGATGCAAAAGAGATATTTATACTTCAGTAACCTAGTATTATACTGAAAAAGGAAACATTACTAAAAAATGATTCAATTTGTTTAAAGTGACAGTATTGATTTGGCCAGAGTGAACGTTGGACGGAGATTATTTTTTTAAGCCTCAATTCATACCCTTAAGGCAGCTTGGGGTGTCTTCCTCCATCTTGTATTTTGAAAAAGCAGATAACAATCGGTCTATATCTTTAATGCAATGTGCAAATTTCGAGAGTAGTATGTAATTCATGTGTAAGAATGTCTGTGTAGCTATAGAAAATTATGTGTTTTATCATATTTACAGCTGTATTTTACAAAAAAACAGATTATTTTTGTTTGATTCATTTTTTTTTCCAACTTTGCTACATAAGGGGAGATAACTCAGATAGAAGGGAAGATAACTCAGATAAAGAAACTTTTATAATAGAATGTGTTGTGAATTTACCTATTTTATTATGTAGCAAGAAAACGAGTCCGGTGACCCCATTTTTTGTTTTTCTTATCTGAAAGCATATTAGTAGAGCGTTTTTCTCATATTTTATCTTACAATTCTATGGTGTAGTTTTCTTTTTATCACATTTTTGAGTTTTCCATGCATAATCTATTATAAATCTGACAATCTTGCACAACCTGTAGCGTGAAAAGAAAGCCCGGTGACCCATTCTTTTTATTATATTTTTGAAAAAAGCATGATATAAACTACATTTTGACAAATTATTAAAAAATTCTATGGATATTAATGAAGACCCCTATCCGCCGTAAGTTGTTTCAAGGCTCTCAAGAGATAAAACATGTCGGATTCTATTTGGACAAGCACATTTTATTAACTAATAATGGTCTATAAGCAGTAGAATGTTTGAATAAAGCAAACAGATATTCAAAATAATTGTGACTGAGGGCAATGCACATTATCGGCATTTGTCCGCCATAGGCATTATTTGTCCGCCATAGACATTATTTGTCCGCCATAGGCATTATTTGTCCGCCATAGGCATTATTTGTCCGCCATAGGCATTATTTGTCCGGTATAATGCTTGTATAATGCAGTATTGTATTTGTCGATTTAACCGTACTAGTAGGGTTGATTTATCATTATATTTAATCGAAGTCAACCCTAAATTTTATTCCTTGCTTCGACATTTTTGCATTTTAATAATTATACCTAGAAATAAGCAAGAGAGGGAACGGTGTCGGTGCTTATATATCCTTTTGGAACTTCCAAAAACAGACGCGATCAGTTATCTAAAGTTAAAAAAGTATATCGTGACTTTATATTACGTATCTAACCATCATGTTCGAAATAGAATGAATATCTTTTATATAACTGAATGGCTAATGTGTTTTATAAAACACGTGTACATAAACTCGTTAAAAATATAAAAATCACTTATGTCAGCCTTTTTAACTTGGTTCATAATACAGCTGTGACATTAAATTGAGTAGATCCTTTTGTTACTTTACTCCTACAACTTTGTCACGATCAACCACATTATATTTCTTATTCATTCAACCTATCCGGTATTGATATAACATCTTCTTTATCATGTCCTATTCACTCAAATGCTAAAACACAAAAGAAAAATGTTCTCATTTTCAGGACTATATTCAAAATTAAATTAAAAACCCTAACCCTAACATCAATTTATATATGTATATAATAAATTAAGTAATTTCACAACAAATAAATGGTTTCTAAAAAATATGCTTTATTTTTTAAATAAGATAAAAAAAAATTTAGTCTTCTAAGGCTACCAATTTTCACCATTTTCCATTATATCTCATAGACTTCTGTCTTTACACCAATGTCAAACCTGTAATAAAAACGTATTCAGTAAATAAGTGTATTACATTAGTAGAAATAGGGGACACACATGGAAGAATAGATATAGTCACTCATTCAAGTAGTTTTCTGCGTCTATGCCAATTGTAGGAATAAGAGCATAATGTTTTTGCAGGCTCAAAACGTGGGAAAATGAATAAGTAGAACAAAAAATCCAAGCATCTTTGGAAACTGAAATCTTAGTTTCAGTACAAATTACACAATGCTTTGATTGATACAAAAAATATCATTCTTTGGTAAAGCACTAATTTCAATTGGATGATAATAATCGTAGAACAACATTCCAAAAGCAATGAAAAATATCCCACAGCTGGATATTTGAAAGTCCCCAAAAAAAACCAATTAAAAACTATATCGGTACAATCAAAGGTGTCCCCTTGTATTCTGAAATATAGTTGTCTTCGTGTAAACTCTGTAGAAAGCATTTCGATACTCACAACAGTCAGGATAAGCATTGCGTTTTATTTCATGATAATTTTATGTTAATTTTATCTATTTATTTCGTTTTGTATATTTACGTCATTTAAAGTGAGTATTCTTCTATGGTGACAAAGGCTGATTTATTTACCAAAGGTAACATATATAATAAAGAATTATGATATCATAGGATTTTACCAAAAGTAAGACAATGGGCGGAGCAGGAACAACATTATTTTTACTATTTATTGTGCACTAGCACCTAGGTTCAACCCGGTGTTTAATTGCTCAATCATTTGTGCATCTTTTGCTGATTATTTCTATGCATTGTCGTCCTTTGTTGATTCTGTCGGATTTTTTCCCTACGATGTATGATTTTTTGCATGCTCCTTGTATCTTCCTATTTATATTTCCTGCATCATATTATTCATCTATCCCATTATTTCGAAGATATTTAATATAATATAGTATAATAACGCTAGTTAGTTAATTTTGCATTAAATAAAAGGAATGCATGTGATACATGTACATTTGTATATATGTTGTGTACAAATTGTAATTTTGTACAAATTATAATTTGTACACAATTTTTGTACATGTTATCAGTGTTTTATGAATCACTTAACACAAATGGATGATGCAAGCACACTGTCTTTTGTTTCGCATATTACTGTCATATTTCCATGACTACATGATACAGTTTAATACTGAGCATTGATAAAAAAAAAACATTATAAGAACACAAAACGACTTTTTATGAATATGATTTTGGTATAAGGAGAAAAATAAAAATAGAATGTAAACTATTCAGGTGTCCTTATTTCCAGTTTGAAGACAAGGAGAATAGCACTAAATTTTAGGTTTAAGTATATAAATTTGAATTTAAGACATTAAACTGATACATTTCAGAAGATAAACTTTTATCACCTGGTGCAAAAAGGTATGTGTCAAAAAACTTATAACTTGTACAAAAACCCTGTACAAATTATAATTTGTACAAAATTACATCTTGTACACAACATATACATCCATGAGACAGTTATCAAATTGTAAATTTATAAGAAAATCTAAAGAAAATATAAAGGGACACCAGATACTGAAGAGCACAAAAGTCCTTTATAACCTCAGACAAATTTCAACTTATCAAAGAAAACCAACTTAGATATAGTGTTTTGTATGCAATAACATAACTATCCGTCATTATTTGAATGTAACACGTATTGATCTATATTAGTACTTTGTAATTAAAAACAAAACAACAACAAAAAAGAAGGTAATTGTAACAGTATTCTTAACTGCGATACCCGCCCCGATTAAGATCACAGTTTAAACGACTTTTAACATTAGGCATAATCAATTCGCATGAAAAATGCATGCTCTACTTTTTTATTTGATATTTTTACATGTAAGTTTATTTCTTTGTCTATTGCCTGTATACATTTTCTGAACTACGTTCTAATTATCAATATGAACCATGATACAATAATTTCGAGATTAAATACTAGTACTTACTTTTCAATTGTTTAAGTTTCATAACCTTCTTTCTCTCCAGGTTCGACGTATCTGGCCTGTACTAAGCTGGCCACTAATACCGCAGCCATGTATACGACAACAATAACTTTTTGACAGAACACATTCATGGTATAAGTTTATCTCTTTGGGTATCGCTTGATATGCAATTGCAAGTATAGATGTGTATAGCTCTTTTAATACACGTATATTTATACTCTTTACGTGTGCATATTTTTTTGTGTCAAACATTGGGCTAGGCGTCAAAAAATTGTTTTCCTGCATTGTACAAATTGTTGGTGTTTGAAAACAACAGGAAACACGAAAATGTTTGCATACACGTGCATGTAAGGTTGATTAACAAGGGCATGTTATTTTGCATAATAAGAAAATCAATTTAATATAACATTGTAAATTTGCAACTAACAAATAAGATCCTTAATTAATTTGTCAGAGGTCTTCAGGCTTTGAGATCAAAAGCAATTGATCATGACCTTTAATAATTATTTAGAAAGTAAGTAATATCTTTTTTTTTATATTCTTGTGAACGACTATCATCTTTAAAAACTAGAATCTTTAAGGAGCATGTATCTGTTTTCTAAACATGATACTGACTTATGACTTTGACTGAAAAATGATAAGTAATGCATGGTGCTTTTGTATCAAACTGTGTCTTAAAATCCAGAACATCGCCTTTGAATCTTCTTAAATAAAAGGAGACAGTTATGAAATTGTAATATTGTTATAAGAACCAAAGAAAATTTAAGGGACACCAAATACTAAAGAACTCAAGAAAATTGATATTGATAAGAAATGTCCCATGGTTTAGCGCCATTTATGTGCCATTCGTGTTATATTACTCTTCCATTTGTTCGTTTTGAGCACCACTCAAAATACGCATATCAATTGCATAAGTTAACATTGGAATAACGAATATACATCTAATATTTTACATTCTAGAACACAAGATATTTCACGAGCACTTAATGTTTAAATAGTGTTCATCATTTGCTTGTTTAGAGGCTTTCGAATTAATGTATATATTTTGTAGAAATTCGACATTTTATGACATTCTCCGAATATAACATCAAACCAATCCAAAATCAAACAAAGAATGGTAATTAAACATCCAAATATCTTATCAAGCTAACTTAAAAGTTACAACATTTCACGTAAATGCAGTATACTTTACCTATGTATGATAAGTCCGGTACCTAACTTGATAATTTATGTTGTTTCTCTGGCACAAGTCCCTTAATTAACGCCGAAGTTTGTTTGGGGGAATACAAATAAATGAATCTGTACTTCTCCCATCCATCAGCATGCTGATCGGTATCCGCAGTCACATCGGTTCAAAATGGAGCCGTTAAATCTGATGCATCATGTAAGGAAACGTTTAAAGAACTCTAACAACAACGTCTTTTGAAAGGTAAACATTTTGCTCATATCCAACATACCTTATTTTTCCAGCACAAATCTTATTTCCCGCCCTTCTTGCTGGTAAATCAACATTACTGTTTAACCTAATGGATCGATATTTATTTGTTCTCAGTCTGAATATGCAAGATATTTGCCACTTAGTATTGAGCAAACAACAATCAATTAATTTAGGAAGTTTCTGGAATAACTTTCTTCAGTTACGCTTAATTACAAAAGTTGTGAAAGCAAAATACACAAAAATCACTTAGCGCATAACACCAAACAGACACAAACCGAACAGTCAATACCCTCTATTACTTTCAATACAAAATTGAAAGTAATCTTCATTAATAAAGCAGGGATTCTTCTCGATAAAAAATGTTGGAGGCACGCATATTGGTTTTCATTTTAACACTTATATAACTGCATAAGCATTTGGCTATTCTTTTAAGGTCGCTTTTGGTGATATATATCTTTTAACTTTTCTACGTATTTCTACATCTTTTTGGCTTTGGGCGTTCCTGAAAAGGCAAAGTCCAGAAAAGCGCTTCGGATGCTCGAAATTTAGAGATTGTTGTTTTCTTTTTATCAGTCATCTATTTGTAAATCTTGTACAATCAAATCTATTGTTTAAATGCTACAAATGTCGAGAATCTATTATTTTATTTCGCTACGAATTAATTGAAATCAGAATAAAACGAGATGTACGGTTATACGCCAATGAGACAGAAATACAACCCTTCATTTTTACAAATTTATTTAAAAGAATTGTTAATTCGTATGTGTGCATGTTGTTCAGTAGTTGTCGTTTTTTGGTGTGCATAAGTGTTTCTCGCTTCTCGTTTTTTATATAGATTAGACCGTTGGTTTAACCTGTTTAAATTGTTTTATACTAGTCTTTTTGGGGCCCATTATAGCTTGGTGTTCGGTGTGAGCCAAGGCTCCGTGTTGAAGGCCATACTTTGACCTATAATTGTTTACTTTTTACACATTGTGACTTGGATGGATAGTTGTCTCATTGGCACTCATACCACACCTTCTTATTTATATGTAGATAACCAATACAACGAGACTGACTGAATGAACCAAGAAGAAATCGAATCCATTATGTATAATCAAAACGATTGATACTGTGAGCATTTTATATCTAGTGTGATTTTCATATTCTTCCCTTCTGTAAAAGAATTTGGTGTTCATGGCAAAGCTTTGGTTGTTTCTCTTAATTGATTCCCCAAAAAGGAAGAAAATACCAAGGAGTATCTAAAACCATAAGTCAACTCCATTGTCAAATAGAAGAAAACAAAACGACTAAATCACAAACAGCAATCCACAAAATAGAGAAGACTACAGATTGAGCAACACAAACCGCGTCAAAACATCGGGGTAAAATAAGGTGATCAAGGGGGTAAACAAGTCCTGCTCAACTAACGACACCCGTCATGTAACTCATATATAAGCCGTACATTTAGACGTCTTTAATTTCTTTATGTGTCTAACGCCAAGTTAGATTTAGGATGCTTATATCATAAACACTAATCTGCCTAAAACAAACAATATCCCAGTCGTTTTGTTCCGTCTACTATGTTATAAGAATACAGTTTTAGACTACAGTTGTTGATTTTGGACTCACGGCCAAATAAAAATATTTTAAGCGAATACATAAGATCAGTTTTATATGACCTTTTTAAAAAAAATTACGCCTGAACTTCCCCAATTTTTGTTCTTTGTTTACATCTTAATCTATTTTGTAAGTAAATAATATAATTTTATAGAGAATGCAGTCAGCTTTGGTAAGAACATTAAAGCTCGACAAAGAAAGTGAAATAACATTGAATGAGCTATTCACTGACAATCAACGTTTAGAAACAATTGAAATTGGACAGAAATGCAAATGACTTAATTATGACTCCATTTATACAGTACACTTTACAATTATAGTAATAATCTGCTTGTTACAATACGTAAAACATATTATAATAGATGACCTATTAAATTATATATACTTGTATTCTCTTTTATCTAATACTTTGTAACTACTTTAATATTATACATAATGTTCTTAATAGTATAGTAATTTAATTCACTATTATAGTAGTATTTCCGATAAAGCCATCAAAATAAATTTCATTCTTCATATGCACTTATTATAATACAAACTTCAAGATATGAAAATAATTCGATGCATCCGGTCTGATAGTACAACTATGCTCATTAGAAATCATTGAAGTTAAGTTTGTGAATACAGATGAAGTGTTTAAATAATTACTTCAGTTAAATCTTATACTTCTTTCGCCGAAAAGACTTAAATATGCTGATGAAAAAGTATAACACTATCATGCTTAAATTTCAAACTAGTTAAAAAGTTTTGAACGTCGCTGAGATGGATCGGTTTAACAAATCCTGTATTTTAGTGTGTGCAGCTTTTACATTAGGTGGATTGGCATTATTAACTACTATAGTTTCAATATCTACAAACTACTGGTTGTATGTAACGGAGGAACTTTCACTTAAGTATTTTATAACATACGACACCATTGAATATGAAGAAATGGATGAATCAATGGAAAACAGTACTTTTCCTGACAAATTCGAAGTTTCTCTTGTGATAGGATTATGGCGATTTTGTTCAGTTGCCATGGGTTTGTTGTTCTATTATAGTATCGTTGTTTATATCTGGTTTTGTCCTATAACAAGTAAACCTTGTGTATAATTCATGTACTTAAACAGCTACAGTCAACTGATTTAACTATGTTTTGCGAAATGCGCCTGGGGCGACAGCCATCTGGTAGGCATATTTAAAATGAAAAGAATGTATTAAGATTTTTATAGAAAAAGTATATTTATGTCGATGTATGAGATTCAAAAGTCTCTTGAAATATAAGAAAATAAACAGCTATATCAAAGGGGAAAGACTTGGTTGTTACTTGCTTAACCTTCTGTGGCAAATACTTCATGCATATTCAGAAAGAGGGAAAGTTAACAATAAGCATAATTTGTTGGTTCAGCAATATAGGTTAACTAGGATGATGGGCGGACAATTTGGGCTGCAACTTAAAATTGATTGTATGTTGTAAAAAACAGACATTTTGCTCTGCAAGAAGCTACCAATGGACCCCCAAAGAGTTGTTAAATTGGTTGTAACGCGCAGAGAACATGGCACCCATCAAACACGAGGCATCGGATTTAACTTCCCTATTTTACCGGAGGTGGCTTCATATTTATAAATCCCGCACAGTTAAAAGAACACATCAGTTTATTAAGGGTTTTACTGCCGGACAGTTGAAGTACATGGATGACCATTTTCCTGTCAACAAGTCAGCCTTTAGAGTGCAACAGAGCAATGAGCTTAGTAGTTGTTGTTTATTTTGAAAGTTTCAAGTAATTTCTTCAACTATGAGGTAAATAGGTACAGCACCATAAATGTTTGTTTCGTATGCAAACAGCCACATCGCAAAATCAAGAACATCATGAAGATCTTCATTTCACCTGTTCTGCTTTTAATAACATTTAACAATTATAACAAGAGGAACAAAAAAAGAAAAAAATACCGTGTGTGAAAAAATAAGACGTGACCTACAAACGAGAGGTGAAAGATAATAAAGGGATATTCAAACTGATTAGTCAAAAATAAACTGACAATGTCATGGCAAAAAAACTAGAAACGATCACAAGACAAACAACACAATGAAAACAGTATAAGTCAAATAAGGACACACAAACCTACGATAAAAAGAAAAGAGACAAACAGACAAAACAAAAGCCAATCAAACATTGTTTTTATTCAAGACAAATATAACCAAAACGTTCACAATAAGCCAAAACGATAACCAAAACATATATGCAATGACAAAAAGAAAAAAAGAATATATAAATACGAAAATAGTTTTAAATAACGAGCGCATACTGACAATAAAACTGTCATTTAAGTTAAGTCTCAGTTATTGTTCAAAGACCCGTCACAAGTCATCAACTTTTAAATAAATTAAATAACCTATTTCCCGGTTTATTGCTACATTCGATTCGTGTTGTTAAGTCTGATGTTTTCAGTGTTATTTTTTATGGATTTTTTATTTTCGATTTTGTGCATAATCTATTCCTGCATTTTGTTAGACAGAATATTCGTTTTCATCCTGTCTATGGCAAGATTATTTATTTTCAATTCTTACCTAGCCAGTATATCATTTCAACAGGGGAGGATTGATACTGTAAAATCATTTCAACCCGGGAGGATTGATATTGTAAAATCATTTCAACAGGGGAGGATTGATATTGTAAAATCATTTCAACAGGGGTACAGGGGAGGATTGATATTGTAAACTAAATAGCTTGACCCCGCCACACGTTCAAGTGCCTGACCTCAACATGTCTTTTCTGTTTTGTGTGTTATTTGGATGCTGTTTCATGAACGTATACTATACACCTTTAATATATATTTATGATTCGTAACGGTCAATCTTAGAATCATCTTACATGTATGTGTAGTCATCATTACTTTCATTTTCAGTATGACTTACCGTTGAGTAATAATTTGAGCAAAAGAAGCAAAACATATCAGCAGATGGGCTAAATATAATTCCTTTAAATCATAAATATGATTTAAATATATTTTTGTTTCAGAATTCACCTTTTGTGAGAATTTGGATTACAAGATACCGAAAATAGAACGCCAGGAGGTTGCCATTTCAATTGCTGGTTAGTGAAAAGATTTACAAATCTCATCCAAATATCAATGTTCATTATTCTGTTAGGCATTTGAAAATAGCAAGCGGCATAAAAACATATCTACAAGTATCAACATAAAATTATCTCAGAACATACAACAATATTAAAATGATAATTTCTATCGAAGATAATCAAAATAAAAAAAAGGCGGAAACCACCAAAGATAGAATCAAAACTCGTAAATCGAAGAGACCGACAAAACCATGACAAACAACAAAAAACGAAGAAAAGACAAACATCTGTCTATAAAACTAAAAGACGAATATTCAACTTAAAACTAATTTACATAGTTTGGACAATGTATAAATAAGGAATGTGCAAAACGAGTCTATAAAAAAAAGAGTCAGAAAACAGCAAGGGGGCAATCAAAAACCTTAAGTTGAAGAGAAAAGACAATATGGTTCATCCGCAAGCATTGATATTTGTTTTATATGCAATAAATTAACGTATCGTCGCTGGGCTTCCAAAATGTCGTACATGACTTTTTTGGCTAAAATTACTTTTTCACACAAATCGTCTTGGCGGAAAGCAATCTTTGATACTCCAAAATAGCATACAGTTAGACCAATCAGAACATTTGAAATAAGACTTGCGACAAAACTGCCAATCTCAATTGCTTGTACACTTTGTTGTATGTAAACTTGAAAAGTGTTGTATAAAGGCTTAAGGAATCAAACACTTGTACATTTCTTTATTTCTGTTAAAATAAGTTTAGTTTTAATGTAATCCACAAAGTCATAGTTTTTATTTCACTGTCATTTGCAAAAATATTCAGGTTCACTTACGACTTTTTGGAAGCATGCATTTCAAACAAATTTTCAAAGACTGTTTGTGAGATTTTTTCTTTTTGGGAAAATTTGTTATTTACTACATTTTGGAAGCCCAGCGACGGTATGCTTTTAAAACTCATTTAACGTTCATAGTACGTAACTTATTATTACTCAGCCAAATATGGTCGATACACAAGTTATTGTAACATTTCATCATGTTTATTTCAATGGTATGATAGAATGAAAATACCAACAAAGATTTGTTTTAATTTAGCAAAATTAAAATTTATTTTTACGAATGAATATCGTATTTACAGAATCACAGAGAGAAGCGTCTCCAATGTTTCTCACAGCTCTCGTTTTACTCATTGTTTCTGGGATATTTAACGTGATGGGAAATATCAAATGGTTTAGGGTAACAATGGTGGCAAGCATTAGTTACATATTAACAGGTAGGATTAATATAAAGGTTATTATGTGCACATATATATATATATATATATATACATTAAACAAGGTCGGTCGGAAAAGGTTTTTGAAACCGGTTAAAGAAATTACGCAATTTGATTTGCTGCGTTCGAATAAGCGCTTTAATGGATTAATCATCATTATAATCATATTTTCCGAAAAACAAGGATCTGTATATACATTTGGAAATGTATGAAAATAACACTTTACAAATTTTGGGCGTCTAAAAAGCTTTTCCAGAACGCTTAAATCCAAATATTTAAAGCCAGGAATATATAATCACGGAGAAACGCTAGGAGATATATAACAAAAAGGGATCTTAAAAGAATGTCCAAAATGATCTAAGGTGAATTTTGCCTGAGCGAGTGTCTTAGCAACTATGCAATCGAAAATCTAAAACATGGACCGAAGCTATTATACTCGTACAATGTCAACTATGATCTTGCAATACTATTTGGTACTCAACCTTGTATAAACTAGAAAGTTCCATAAATAGTCACTCCTTATATCATAAAAATAGAAAATAGATGTATTTGGTAAAATATTCCTGTCACTTTTCAGAAACGCAATATTGATTAAATTTCTTTCTTGTTGTAGCACTTTTTATTGTGGTTGGCATGGTAATTTACATTGCTAACATACAGAGAGAAATGCAGAAAGTAGCAGATTTAAAGAGAAAAGACGTGTCAGTAGATTGTAGTTATGGTTGGTCATTCTATGTCATGTGGTTGAGTTTCATCATGTCTTTTGCTGATGCAATCATATGTATAGTTATATTCCTTAATGAATGGAAAAAGATTCATAGCACAGCCGAGATCAAGATGCAGCTGACCAATATATCTGATGAGAACGAAATGACTGTGTGATAACTCATTATTTACATTTTTATGAATTCGCTAAAATAATTCAACATAAAGACATTTTCTATTATTTTCCAACATTATGTGGAAATTTAAGCACACTAACTTTCTTTTGTGATTAAAGAAATACATATTCTTTATTTTTTTATTTTGTTTATTTGTGTAGTTCGTTTTCATATGTTACTGAACATTCGATAAAATTTTCTTCATTCCGTAAGGAAATTAATCCATTCTGATCGTTTCCAATGTTAATATTTGTCAGTTTGATATCTGAACCTTATATTATTAGTTACATGGTGTGTTAGTGGCCTAATGCGATATATATGGGGTCAGTAAATTCCATATGGGGTGAGAGCGAAGCGCAAATCCCCATATGGAATTTACTGACTCCATATATATCGTATTAGGTCACTAGCACACCGTGTAACGAATTTATCTTATCGACTATCTTCACATGTGGTATTTAGACTAGCGGCCTATCAAAGTGATCGAGTCTTCAATACTTAGTATTAAGAACCTTCTTCCATTTGTCTATACAAAAATCAAATGCCAACAATAACAACTTGTTAGCTTTAAATTTGTTTTATGAATTTATTTCAATCGTTCATTATCAATTTCTTCGTCTGTTAAAACCTTTCAGATTTCTTTTTTGTTTTGAAAGGGAAGTAACTCCTTACTAACCCCATATGGTAGCTAACCCCATATTTTTTTAGGACACCCTATATCAAATATAAGTAGTCACCACGTGTAGTCCTTTAAACAATCATATCCCCAGAAATCTATAGGAGGTAAGATAAAAATATATATATAATCAGAAAATCGGCGAAAACTTTACATTTTTTATATATAAAAGTAGAAGTTGTCTTCAAATAATCACTGTTAAATATGTGTTTCCCAAAATGATATCCTAATGTAAAAAAATAAAGAAAAATTCAAAGTACTCTATTATGTATACCAATCTCTTCACACGTCATACACGTATACATGTATGCTTAAGAATATTGTAATGTTTGTGTAAATAGTAACAGATAGGAAATAGCAAATCAGCTCGTTTGATGTTTTGTTTTCCAAAAACGAACTTTCATCTATACTGAGAAAAAACGCATCGAAAAGAGTGATATTAACATATGCTCCGAACGGTTAAGCGTATTTTGCTATGGATGCGACATCCGTTACCAGCTGCCCGTTAATATACTAGTAGGTCAGATCGTTTGAAGGAAATGAAACGTTTTCTGTCAGAATTTAATTGGTACAAACATTTCTGAGAACAAGATCATCATTAAATGGAAATAAGATCGTTGATGTCGATCGAAAGTTAAACAAACAAGACAAACATGACAATAGGTCATATCAGACATCATTTTTTTTGCAATCTTTGCATGCATGTGCATATACTTAATAGAGGTTATTTTGGGACTGCTGAATTGCAATATTTTTAGTCTTAACAAGTGAAACATGTTAATGGTTTTGGGGTCAGTATTCCTTTTGATCACCAATAATCCTGTCGATTTAAGCCCAATTTCATGGATGGATAGATTGCTTTTTAACATCAAGCGACAAATTAAATGCACATTCAGGACGCGAACATAATACAATGGTATAAATATTACCCTGCTTTACACAGACCGACATGGTGAGCCGGAATTTTAACGTGCTAGTTCACAAGGTAACAGTCCACAGGAAGACATGTCACCTTATCCAGACACATTATTCTGACTCCTATCCGACCAGTCTTTGCTCTCACTCCTTCATGCCGGGTGCTTAGCGGAGATGCAGCAAATACCAATTTTAAAGTCCGGTTTGACCAGGCCGGGGTTCGAACCCACGACTTCCCGCACTCTACGCGAACAAACTACCACGAAACCGCGAGTGATTTCATAATTTATGGTGACTGACCTTTGTAAATATTTGTGTATTGATTTTATTTGTGAATTTTTTGTTTATGTCCTTGTGTGTTTAATTATTATGAGGGACCAAAAAATATGGAGATTGAATACACAATCATAAAGTGTCATATAAAAAAGGCATACTGTTCAAAATATTTAGTTAACTCAAATCTCAAACCGTTTTTTATGGATTCCAAATTTATGACGACACACTCGACCTAGGATGAGTCGAACCTCGGATAAGTCGAATACTTTTGTCCGGTCCTTGCGACTTCGACATAACGAGGTTCGACTGTAGTTTTGTGATGAACTCTACTGTCTTTGTCAAGACCAATATCAATAACAATTGATCTAGGTTATTCGTCACTCAGACAGCAACTCAGCCGCGAATCTATTAATAAAAGAAGTATAAGTCGTCTACTACAATTAAATATGCATGGAAAGAGCTAGTTAATAAACTCATCACATATATCAGGATAACAGTTTTGAACGCCAGACTCGCGTTTCGACTACAAAAGACGCTCGAATCAAAAAAGTTAAAAAGGCCACATAAAGTACGACGTTGAAGAGCAACTTATATCAGCAGTCCACGCGTAATTGGTTAATTGGTTTGCATTTCCCATTCAGACAACAACTTAATCGTTCTATTCAAAATATCATCTGAATAAGTTGTAATAATGATAATATCCGTCTTTGGAAAGAACCTATAATATCTATTTCCGTTTCTGATTTAAACAAATATTAATATTACAAACATCAATTTTAAGAAGATAAGAAGAGTTTTAAAACTTCACAAGTTTGATGTTTGAAAAGAGAGGGGAATGATATAAACAGATCATTTGACTATCAATTTTTGTAACATGACAGATCTATTAGTGAGGAATATGTTTTAGTTTTGTCTCGAAATAGAATCAATCTTGACTACATCATTAAGCTTATTTCCAGTTATAACAAATGGAAAAAAAAAGAAAACATATTATTATTATGAATTAAATATAAAATATAACAATATGATAAAAATACTGAACTCCAAGGCAAATTCAAAAAGGGGAAGTCCATACAAAATGACAAAATCAAACGCTCTCAATCAACGGAACAAGTGTATATTACATTTTCTATTTATTTTCCATTATCTTCATCCATAGTTTTTTACCTTTTAGGTTAAACAAACATTGCTCCTCAGCATCTTAATCCACCATTTGGAATTTCAAATTTAAATATTTAGTGCATTTACAATTCAACTATCAGTAACAGACATTTTAATCTTTTATTTAAAATAGGCCACTAATGATTATTTAGTCATTGCCATAAATACATGTTTATAAATAAAATTTCATCAAAAAAAGAAAAAGAAAAAGAAGACCAAATATAAAAACACAAAAATAACACACACGAAAAACCAGATGTAGATTGACAAACTTTGAAGAATAAGAAAACTATAGTTACATTTTTGTACTAAATAATCGAATGTAATAAATTTCTTTTCATTACAAGGCATAACATAACGAGTACCGTTATCCGTAGTAATTTGCACAGGTGGATCGTGCATGCTAAACGGGAGTTTAAATCATTCGACGGTTTGCATTCAACTAGTCTAGACGTTTAAATTTAATTGCTGCTAAGGTCTGTTTGACTTTTTTGTTGGAAAAAACAATTTTGATTTATGTCTTAATGTCTTTCACACGTATACGACTATTCCTATACAATTCGATAGATGCACATGTACACTGCCCAATTTACAGTATTTATTCATTTTTCTTAATTCATATAGTTGTGAATTGATTCTAATATTTAAGGTCTTTCCACTCCGTTAGGAAAGACCTTATTGTTTTTCTAATGTTTTTTTTTTTTCTTTTTCTTTTTTTTTAAGGTCTTTCCACTCCGTTAGGAAAGACCTTATTGTTTTTCTAATGTTTTTTTTTTTTCTTTTTTTTTTTTTTTTTCTTTTTCTTTTTTTTTTTTTTTTTTTTTTCTTTTTTTTCTTCCAACATTTTTTTGGGAATGCCCTCCCCCCGTTTCTGTTCAAGTTATCAAGACCAAATATAGACCATCGATAGACATCATCATGAAGTATTACCACATGACCCTGTTAAGGATTTCATCATCCCCTGTAGAAGTTATCCCCCTTTTATTGGATTTTTTCAACATGGCCCCCCTTCGTTGTTTTTGAAGATATCATGACCATATTTTGACAATAGGTTGATCTCATCATGATGTACTACCATATGTGACTGCATAGGATTTCATCATCCCCTATGCGAGTTATATTCCCTTGAAGCAATTTCTTTCTTGCACTTTGAAATTTTGCGAGCGGAGGCATGTATTTCTGAATCAACAACAGGTAACCACCTGAAATTATAAGAAATTGAAGAGTTTAACATGGTTATATGTTTGACAAAATACCAAAAACATTCAATGAAAAAAAAAACCAAAAAATCAATTTGAAATTTTCATGTTTTGCATTGACTTTGTAAGTTTCATAAGTTCTATTTATATAATTGATATTGCATCATTTATGGCACTTTGCCAAATGGGGTCATTTGATATATCAAATTGAAGGTCTTAACGAGCTCTACTCAAAAATGAAAATGTAAAACCCCCTTTTCATCCCAGGGGGAAGGGTGGGGTCATTTAGTGCAAAAAATTAAAACTTCTCAGATGGTTAGGTTGTCGCATATCAAATGAAAGTCCATAAAGCGTACATTTCAAATATCAAATTGACGTCCCCAAAAAATGGGTTGGTTGGGGTCATTGAGTGCAAAAAAAATAAATTTTCTTTTAAGATAAGGTTGTTGTATATCAAATGAAAGGTCTTACCGTGTACATTTCAAATATCAGATTCCCGTCCTCAAAACATTAGTTGGATGGGGTTATTAAGTGCAAAAATCAAACTTTCTAGAACATGGCGTTGTCGCATATCAAATGAAAGATAATCAAGTCTAGATTACATATATCATACTTCCGATATCAAAAATGTAGGCGGATGGGGTCATTAAGTGTAAAAAGTGAAAATTTTCAGAAAGTATGCTTGTCGTATATCAAATGAAAGCTCTTAAAGAGTACATTACAAAAACATCACTTTTGCAGGAAAGACCTTTCAATTGTTTTACAAACAATTGAGATACTAGTGTTTTTTTAAGGTTTTTCCACTCCGTTAGGAAAGACCTTATTGTTTTTCTAATGTTTTTTTTTTTCTTTTTAAGGTCTTTCCACTCCGTTAGGAAAGACCTTATTGTTTTTCTAATGTTTTTTTT